TGGCATATGCTGAGTCCACATCCCCTGGTCCCACCTGCTAAGCCCTTGCCCCTGGCTGCTGGCGCCCCCATTCAAGCAATGCCTTCTACATCCACTTCCTGACGGCTGGTCCCAAAAGGCTCGGCCTTCACTTTTTTTGAACTTTTTATTTTTATAATAGTGCTGCACATTTCACGGTGATCCTGAAATTCCCTTCTTTGGCTCCCAGAACCTAGCACTATATCCTGTTCTTGGCCTTGCCCCCAAGATCCTTCCTGGATCTTCCTCTTCCTGGTTGTTCAATGGCAATATCAAAAGACTCTGCTGTCATCCCCCAAGATTTTCACCGTTCTGTTTTCTCTTATTCGGAAGTCACTCTCCCCAGGGCTTCCTACTGTCTGCTCCAGTCCAGTGAAGAACTTCCAACTCTCTGTTCCACCCTGACTCTCCCATGAGTCTTAACATTTTCAGTGCCTTCAAACCATTTCCCCTCAATTACACCCTGGAGTCCCAGATTCACAGTTCTAAAATCAGACTTTCTTGTCCTTGTTAACAATATCAACATCATCCAAGTCGGCCAAATTGTAAACTCCAAGATCATCTCCACTCCCAGTGTGTAAGTGGTTACTCTGACTCATAAAATTCTTCCCTGCAAAGTCTCTTATATTTCACTTTCCTCCTCATTTTAACTTCCATCACCACCTGAGCTCAGCTTTCTTCTCATTCCTAAAATACTGCAATCGCTTTTGGCTGATCTTCTTGCCCCTGAACTATCCTTTCCAATCCACCCTGCATCTGTGAGGAGACAACTTTCCATAAAGATCTCCTATTCTTGCAATGTCTGGCTGGGGTGTCTAAGTACAGGCATTCACACTAAGAATATTTCTGGTGGTCTCGTGGTTAAGAATCTGCCTTGCAGTGCATAGGATGTGAGTTTGATACCTGGTCAGGGAACTAAGATCCCACATGCTGTGGAGCAACTAAGCCCAGTGCCACAACTTCCGAGCCTAAGCACTAAACTACTACTAAAGCCCATGGGCTCTGGACGCAACTACTAAAGCCCACGGGCTCTGGTGCCTGTACGCCACAACTAGAGTTCATGCACCACAACCAAGATCCTTGGGTCAGGAAGATCCCCTGGAGAAGGTAATGGCAACCCACCCCAGTATACTTGCTGGGAGAATCCCATGGACAGAGGAGCCCGGTAGGCTATAGTCCATGGGGTCGGACTGTCCAAAGAGTTGGACATGACTGAGCAACTAACGCTGCAACTAGAGAAAAAGCCTGCACAGCAACAAAGACCCAGCACAGCCAAAAATAAATAAAATTACTTTAAAAAGAAAAGCTAACATGTTTAAAAAAAAAAACTATTAAAAAAAAAAAAAGAATATGTGTGTAAGGAGACATTCCAGAGTAGTAGGGCTTAGAGACCTCTCCTTCCTGAGATGTTTCAGGGTAGTGAAGATAAAGACCTCACCTCCTCTTCCTCAGAGAAGATCGGTTTACATTTCTGAGTAAAGATAAGGTCTTTCTCCAGAGAGAAGCAGGAGCAGGTCACCAGCAGCTCCACAGAAGATGGGAACCTAATTTGGGGGTTGTTCCCCCAGTCTGTGCAAGTACCATCTGGCCCTCACTGTCTTGCCCTGTGGAGCTTGGGCAATCAACACGGCTAACTTCACTTGAAGAAGGGTAAAATCTCAGACCCCTTACACTGTGACTTAACACACCACCAACAAATTATCTTTTCAAGATCGACTTTGGCCCCCTTACTTTCTTGACTGAAACACTTCCATGGCTTCCTTCCACAGAATAAAACTCTTTTAAGTCTTATCCGCAATTCAAGTTCTCTTTCCAGTCTGTCCCCCTTCTTTATATGAGAGACTTGAGAATTTGTGGCTTTGAGTATCCCAGGGCGTTATGGAAGCAATCCACCATAGATACCGACAGAGGACTATAGCACTGATGAAGAAGGAGAAACCAAAGCCTTTGATAATCATCTAGGTCTGCAGGTGTCACTGGACACTTGTTGCTAGAGTCTTACCCGATGTAAATCTTCTGTTCTAATCAATCTGGACTTCTGTATGTTTCCCAAACAGGCATACACACCCTGCCTCCAAGCTCGGCCATGCCTGTGCTCACTCAGTTGTTTTCAGCTCTTTGCGACCTCACAGACTGCAGCCTACCAGGCTCCTCTGTCCATGGGATTCTCCAGGAAAGAATACGAGAGCAGGTTGCCATTTCCTATCCCAGGGGATCTTCCTGACACAGGGACTGAACCTGGGTCTGTGTCTCCTGCATTGGCAGACAGATTCTTTACCATTAGTGCCACCTGGAAGGCCCCCTGGCAATGCCTAGAATGCTATACTTAGTTCACAGATGAGGGAAAACCCATGAAGCACCATGGCAAGAAACACCCATAGCATCTGTTGAGCAACGGTGAGCCAAACCATTCATTTCTTCATGGATGTCACCATGGCTCCCATCAGACAGGAAACCAACCAGTCCTCCATCCCGGCCATAACCGATGAACTGAAGGTCAGAGCTGTAGCCCCAGGTAACCAGTGTCTGATTGAACATCAGGGAGCTGAACCATCTCTGGCAATGCTTGGTTGAATCTCTGTGCAACAGGGGAGCTCGGCATTTGATGGTGGCCAACAGACCAAGACATCACCTCAGTTTGAGAAGTCAAGTCAAAAGGGGTGAGGAGAGACAGCTCAGGTTCCAGTGTGAACAAGCGAGTTGGGGTTTCAGACCTCCTCCAGTCTTTCTATTCAAATCTTAGCAATGCCCAGATTGGATTTCTGGGTATTCTCGCAACCAACTCCCAACCATCTCAAAGATAATACAGACATGCATTTTCCTTGTAGGCCTCAACCACTAAAGAGCCCTTCTCACCAGTCTCTAAGATATGTGTACCAAGACGCTGGTTGAAGCATTGTGTGTAAACAGTCAACTTAACCAGACAATATTAATGAGCATGCTTTTATTTATCATATTTCATTATCAACTATAAGATACAACCTAATTCCAGAGACATAAAATATCAGGGACTTCCCTGGTGATCCAGTGGCTATCATTCCGCACTCTCCTTGCAAGGGGCCCAGGTTCGATCCCTGGTGAGGGAACTAGACCCCACATGCTGCTCAAATAGTTCGAATGCCACAAGTAAAAGATTCCGAGCACTGCAACAAAGAGTTGGTGCAGTCAAACCAATGAATAAATATTTTTTAGTGGTGGTTTACTGGCTAAATAGTGTCTGACTCTTGTAAAACCATGGACTGCGGCCCACCAGGCTCCTCTGTCCTTGGGATTTCCCAGGCAAGAATACTGGAGTGGGTTGCCATTTCCTTCTCTAGGGGATATTCTTGACCCAGGGATTGAATCTGGGTCTCCTGCATTGCAGGCAGATTCTTTACTGACTGAGCCATAAGGAAGCGCAAATATATATATATGTGTGTGTGTGTGTGTGTGTATATATATACATTTTAATACGTCAATAAAATAACCCACAGTGGTTATGCCACTGTGATGTTGTAACATATCAAAAAAAAAAAAGTGCCTTTTAAAATTAAGGGATTATTGTATGTATTCAAGATAGGTATTCAGGTCCCTGGTGGCTCAGATGGCAAAGCATCTGCCTACAATTAGGAGATGCAGGAGATACGGGTTTGATCTCTGGGTTGGGAAGATCCCTTGGAAAAGGGAAAGGGAATCCACTCCAGTATTCTTGTCTGGAGAATTCTAAGAACAGAGGAGCTTGGCAGGCTATAGACCATGGGGTCACAAACAGTCGGACATGACCAAGCAACTAACGCTTTCACTTCAAGGTATGTACCGTACGGTACATTCAAACAGTCAGATGTTTTGCAGCTAAGACAGGTAAACAGCACAAGATGAGTCCGTGGGTGGTGGCGGGAGGAAGAATTTCCTTCAGAATGAAGGAGGAGAGTGGGGCATGCACGGGGCTACACTTCAAGGTGCCACAACTGGAGATGCAGCCCGGGCTTCCTGGCAGTCGGTGCTTGAAAAGCAGACTTTAATTTTAAACCAGGTGGTGAACATGTGGGTGTATGTTTTAATGCTTTTATACCTTTTTTGTGTGTCTAAGATATAATACACTTTAAGTGGGCCTTGTTTTATTGCCCTGTTTTATTGCCCCTGTTCCTTGGACACCTTGTGTTCAGTGACGGCTTAAAAATTAATTCTTTAGAGACTCCCGTGGCGGCCCAATGCAGGGGGCCACGGTTTGATTCCTGGTCAGGAAACTAGATGCCACATGCCGCAACTAAGAGTTCACTAAAGATCCTGCACGCTGCAACGAAGATTGAAGATCCCATGTGCTGCAACTAAGACCTCGTGCAGCCAAAAAAAAAAAAAAAAAAAAAATTCTATAAATAAAGGAGTTGAGGGAAATATTTACCGTCTACAACCTCCACAAGTTGACTATTAGGAAAGAAGGAATTTCGTCCTTCCATTCCAGCAGTATCTGATATGTGCACATATCCAACTGCATAAGCACAGTATTGGGCCTGCATACAGTAGTTACCCAATAAACAGTGATTACTATTTGGGAGCGGGTTTGGGGTTTTGGTTCAGGCCCCAGCGTACCTCATCACCCCTCCCTGCTGCCTCTGGGGCATTCAAAAACTCTCAATTATCTTAAACATCTACGTGCAGGTTACGGAGTCAAGCACGCCAAGGCCTTTCGGCAGCTTACAATCCGACTAACAGTACCACAGAGGTATAACAATGTTCGGCTTTTCTTGGTTTAGTGTAATTTGGTAGAGAAACTGGCACCACTAGGGAAGCTGCGCTACGGCCTTGGGACCTCGGAGAGGTGCAGTATCTGGCCAAAGGCCACGGGCAGCACGGCCTCCAGGTGATTCCCGGGTCTCCCGCCATAGGGCCCGGGGCGGCCAAGGCGTCACTGGCGTCCGCGTCCTTTCCTGGAAACTAGAGGGAAGGGTCTCAAGAGAGGCGGCGTCCGCCCGCGTTTTCCGGGCCCAGGCGAGGACACTTACCAGCGCGAAATGCACCAGGGCGTTGAAGCAGAGCCAGGCGAGCAACGCGCGGTCCGCCGCCCCCCGTCCCCGGCCCAGGCGCAGGCCCAGCGCGCAGCCCACCGCCAGCAGCGCGGCGCACAGCAGCAGCGAGCCGCCCGCCGCGGCGCCCAGCTCCCCGCCCGCGTGCATGCTTCCGGCTCCCAGCGCAGACTGCGGGCACCTGGGCTGGGATCGCCCAGCGAGCAGGGAGCAGGAAGGCGGGGCTGCGCGGCGAGGGGGCGGGGCTGCGCGGCGAGGGGGCGGGGCTGCGCGGCGAGGGGGCGGGGCGGAAGGAGGCTTCCCCCTCCCTCCCGGCTGCCCCGCGGAGTCCCTAGACAGCAGAGCCAGAAGTTTTCTCAAGTCAGGCACATGCTCATCTATTTTCTTATCTGGTTTCTCTCGAAACCAGATCTGTTCCAGCTCTGTTCACTCAGTCGTGCCCGACTCTTTGCGGCCCCATGGACTGCAGCACGCCAGGCCTCCCTGTCCATCACCAACTCCCAGAGCCTATTCAAACTCATGGCCATCGAGTCGGTAATACCATCCAGCCATCTCATCCTCTGTCGTCCCCTTCTTCTCAGCCTTCAGTCTTTCCCAGCATCAGGGTCTTCTCCAATGAGTCAGCTCTTCACATCAGGTGGCCAAAGTATTGGAGTTTCAGCTTCAACAGCAGTCCTTCCAATGAATATTCAAGACTGACTTCCTTTAGGATGGACTGGTTGGATCTCCTTGCAGTCCAAGGGACTCTCAAGAGTCTTCTGCAACACCACAGTTCAAAAGCATCAATTTTTCGGCACTCAGCTTTCTTTATAGTCCAATTCTCACATCCATACATGACCACTGGAAAAACCATAGCCTTGAATAGATGGACCTTTGTTGGCAAAGTAATATCTCAGCTTTTTAATGTGCTATCTAGGTTAGTCATAATTTTCCTTCCAAGGAGTAAGTGCAAGCCACCCATCCCCAGACCATGCCCAAAAGGCTGGAGATAGGGCCACACCTTTTGATGCAGTGCGATTGTTAACAGGGTTCAAAGCCTTAAGCCACAAAGTGAAGTCTACCTGTTGGAAATTTTGCCAATAGCCTGCAGTGGAGGAAGGGAGGAGGTAGCGGGTCGGGGTAGTTGGGGTTGAATTTTAGGGACAAAATGTTCTAATTAGGCACTTGCAAGCAACCATCAGTAGGCATTATGGACTACTCTAACACTATCCTTAAAGATCCAAAAAGCAGCATAAAAGCGGGTGAGAGGAGCAGTGGGTCACAGCAGTTTGGTACCAGATAATTTACCTGCGGTATTTTATCTTGTACTTACTGTGTTGCTGTTTCGTTGCTCAGTCGTGTCCGAGTCTTTGCCATTCCATGGACTGTAGCCCACCAAGCTTCTCTGTTCTACTGGTGTGGGTTGCCTTTTCTTTCTCCAGGGTAATCTTCCCGACCCAGGGATGGAACCTGTCTCCTGCATTGGCAGGCAGATTCTTTACAGCTGAGCCAGCTCATGTGGTATTTTATCTTTCTTTACAATCCTGGGAACTCAATGTGTGTCCTCCTATTTTACAAGTGTGGAAATAGGCTCAAATAACAGATTTAAATAACTTGTCTAAGGACTCTCAGTGACTGCGCTGAGGCCAGAACCCATGAATGTGTATCCCCAAGGCCTTTGCTTTATGACCCTTGAGTAGATGCTTAACAGACAACTACAGTCAGCCAGGTTGGATGAAGCCACAAGCTGGAATCAAGATTGCTGGGAGAAATATCAATAACCTCAGATATGCAGATGACACCACCCTTATGGCAGAAAGTGAAGAAGAACTAAAGGGCCTCTTGAAAGTGAAAGTGGAGAGTGAAAAAGGGGCTTAAAACTCAACATTCAGAAAACTAACATCATGGCATCCAGTCCCATCACTTCATGGCAAATAGAAATGGGAAACAATGGAAACAGTGACAGACTTTATCGTTTTGGGCTCCAAAGTCACTGCAGATGGTGACGGCAGCCATGAAATTGGAAGATGCTTGCTCCTTGGAAGAAAGGCTATGAGCAACCTGGACAGCATATTAAAAAGCAGAGACATTACTTTGCCAACAAAGGTCCATCTAGTCAAGGCTATGATTTTTCCAGTAGTCATGTATGGATGTGAGTTGGACTATAAAGAAAGCTGAGTGCTGAAAAATTGATGCTTTTGAATTGTGGTGTTGGAGAAGACTCTTGAGAGTCCTTTGGACTGCAAGGAGATCCAACCAGTCCATCCTAAAGGAAATCAGTCCTGAATATACATTAGAAGGACTGATGGTGAAGCTGAAACTCCGATACTTTGGCCATGTGATGTGAAGAACTGACTCACTGGAAAGACCCTGATGCTGGGAAAGATTGAAGGCAGGAGGAGAAGAGGACAACAGAGGATGAGATGATTGGATGGCATCACTGACGTGATTACATGAGTTTGAGTAGGCTCTGGGAGTTGGTGATGGACAGGGAGGCCTGGAGTGCTGCAGTCCATGGAGTCGAAAAGAGTAGGACACGACTGAGCGTCTGAACTGAACAGTCAACCCTTGAATCCACGGACAGGAAGATCAAACTAATGGGACGTGAACATCCATGGATTTTGGTACACACAGGGGCTTCTGGAACCAATGCCCTATGGATACCCAGGGATGACCTGCACTTCCTGTTTTAATAATCGCCAAAACAGAGGATTCAGATCTCTAGCACTGGCGCTCTCCTCTGAGCCCCAAACCAGTATTTACAGCGTTGACCATCATTTGCATGTATCCACTCAACTCAACCGGAATTGAACTCCTCACCCTCTACTCCCTGTGTCTGTCTCTCTACTGTTGCTTTTTTCTTTTTCTTCTGTCTGCACTGTGAGGCTTTTGTGGTTTTTGTTCCTCAACCAGAGATTGATCCTCAACCACGGCAGTGAACGCGCCAAGTCCTAACCGATGAACCAGGGAACTCCCCCTGTGTTGCTTGTCTTTTATGCTACTTAATGTTCATCAGTTATAGCAACCCAGAAGCACAGAAATCATCCTTGATACTTTCCTCTCCTCCAATTCCTGATCTAAGCTTCGCTTGCTCCTGTTTTAGTTGCCAGTATCTCTGGATTCCATCTGGTGGCTCAGATGGTAAAGAATCTGCCCACAATGCCAGAGACCGGAGTTCAATCCCTGGGTTGGAAAGATCCCCAGCAGAAGGGCATAGCAACCCACTCTAATATTCTTGTCTGGGAAATCCCACGAACAGAGGAGCCTGGCTACAGTCCATGGGGTCAGGAAGAGTTGGATACTTTCTTTCATCTACTTCATGGACCAAGCTATTCACCATCTCTTGCTTCAGGGCTTCACACTATTTCAACCTATACACATTACTAAACTCAAAGTACATTTCCTGTGCTTGCCTTACCAGCCAATGATTGTTATCAAACACAATACCTCTATCATCACTCTTGTTTAATGAAGATGATTTACCGTTGCTTGTAGAATATCAAAACTTCTTTGTATGCCTTACAGGCGGGTTCTGACACCTGCCTATCTCTTCAGCCCTCCCCTGCCCCTGGCAGCCCTCCCCCTCACTATCATTTTGGCTCCACCTGTACTTCCTTTCACTACCTGGACTCCCATGCTTCTTCCTACTTTGTACTGTTTCTTCTGCCAGAAAAGCTTTTCCAGTGAATCTGCCCAATTAACTCCTGCTTTTCCTTCACCACTATCAGCTGTGTACTCTTTGGAGACCTTAACTTCTGTCTGCCTGATAATAAGAATCTTCATCACAGAGATGTTGAGGGCCAAGTTGGTACTTCTTAAGCGCTCATGCCGGTGGCTGGCATTTACTGAGAACTCACTGCCAGCCTGATTATCACCTTCCTAACCAGGCCAACTCCCTCTATCACATATCACTGTATATCTCTAACATTTGTCCTAACTTTTATTTTATTCCTGTGTGTGTGGACCTTGAACCCTAGCACATACCTGGCAGGGGATAGGATGCTCAAGAAGTATTTGAATGTTCTTAAAGGCTTAGTTTCAAAATTCTTATTTATAAAAAAATGAAGTCATGGGAAGGATACATATAGATATGGAATCTGTTCTTATGAAGAAAACTGAGCTGAAATCAAATAAACTGAAATTTATAAATTCTATTAAGGTTTGAAAAACCTTAATAAAAAGGTTAAAAAAGATTAAAAATAAAACTTATTTCTATAATTTTAAAAAAAAAAAGGTTAAAAAAAAACTGTAAATGCCAAACTACTGGACTGAAAAGAGCTGAAAACAAAGGGAACTAAGGCTGTTACCTGATCACAAATCTAATGATGATGAAGCTGGTAAAGTAACTGAAACAGTCTCCTCCACGTTAACAGAATGAAATGGCCAGATAATGGAATGTTCCCATTCCATTGTGCCCAGAAATTAGCCACCAGGTCCAGGACGGACTTTAAAGCAGGATGGCTGAAATGCATGGAGTGTTCAGATTGAGAAAGGAAGTTAATAAAACAGATCTGTCTCTTCTGCTCTACGGGAATAATTAAAAGTCTATACACGAAATCAAGAACAGTTCATTTGTAATGATGGTTCTTTGCGAGTGGTAACTTCTATTCAATATTAAGACTCAAAGCTAGTCCATAAGTAGATCTACTTGGGAGTGCATTTGCTTCTCCAACTCTTCTGACTTATAGCCTGCAGAAATGTGTCCACAAAATGGTCTGCCTCAAAAACAAAACCTGATTTTGTCTTTAAAACATTATGCAAAATGTGCCCTTTACTCTCTAACACCTAGGTTTGTAGTACCATAAAACTGTCTTTCTTACATCAAGTAAAACCGCTGCCCTGTGAAGATGCCTGGTTTCCCTTGAGGCTTCACACGTCACTTGGCACAAGGCCCCATTTATCTCTGGGAACCACAGTTTTAAAGAATTACTCAAGAAGACAGATGGCAGGCAGTTCTTCAGGGCTGGGAAAACGAATGTTGCAGGAAAAAGACCCTGCAGGGAACATATATTTTATAGAACAGCCATAGATCCCCTGCTTTTAATCATGTTTTAATAAACCTGTGAAGTATCCTGGTGAGGACAACCTCTCATAATGCTTCAAAGAGGTGTTTTACAAACTATGCTAGGGATTTCTCTGCTCCAACCCCAGCTTTCCCAGAAAACTTCAAG